GAAGTGCTGGCTAGCTGCAGGTGTCTCACTGCTGGCACCAGAGATGAGCTGGGGGAGTAACAGTAGGACCAGGAGAGAAGCAGCAGCAGCAGAATGTACAGGCAGCCAGCCATTTCCCTCCGCAATTAAACTTCATTATGTAAGAATGTAAGGGTCCCATTATCATTCTATGACAAAAATGCTCCTGAGGAGAGTACAAAGAAATGGTCTGCTCGCCGCAACCATAGCCTGCCCGGTGAGGGAGATCATGTTTACCATAACCATAGCCCTCATGGTGAGGGGAAATCATGCTCGCCGTAGCCATAGCCCTCCTGGTGATACTTGAACTCAGATCACTGGATTCAGAGTCCAAAGTGATAACCATCTCACCATGGGGCCATATCTCGGCTAATTTTTAAAATGTATTATTTGAAACTTTAAACATGAACACTCCACTTACATCAGTGCCATTTCTCTCTTTCCATTCAACTTCTTCCATGCCCCCTTGTCTCCCAAACTCACGACTTCTCTTTTAAAAATTATTATCGCATATAGGCACACATATATATGTGTACACATAAATAAATGAATAAACGTAAACCACTTTATTTGTTTATTTTTATTTTGTGACTACTCAACTTAGTTAAAAAGCAAATCCCAAGATGGGCCTGGCAGTGTACTAACTGCTCCTTGGGAAGCTGGGGCAGAAGGACTGTGAGTGTAATTCTTGTCTGGCTACAGGGTGAGTTGAAAGCCAGCTTGAGTAACTCAGTGAAATCCTGTGTCAAAATAAAATGTTTTAAAAAGTGGGTCAGGGAAGTGGCTTAGTAGTAGAACATTTGTCCAGCATGTACAGACTTTACATGCAACACACACACACACACACACACACACACACACACACACACGCACGCACAGACACACACACACACGCACAGACACACACACACGCACATGCATACATACATTCGCATACACAGGCATACTTACACATGCAACATGTACATAAGCACACATTCACACACTCAAACACTCACATACATACGCATTCACCCCCCTACACACTCACACACATAGGCACATACTCACACAGGCATACACACATACACTCATGAGGCTCATATGTATGTATATACACATCCATACACATAGGTACACACTCAGGCACACACTCACACACACAGACACACATAACACATACATATATACACACATTCACATACACACAGGCACGCGATACACAGACGCACACACACACACACACACACACACACACACACACACTGTACTGCTTTTAGGAAGCTCTTAAATAAAGTGATCAAAGTTGAAAATGTCAGACTAGATAGAGATCCTAGGAAACCGCAGTCAGTGGAATGAACAATGTCAGGGTTAGCCAAGGGGGTGCTTGAGGTAAAGTCACCAACGGGTTAAGGATTGATATTCTTTAGGCTAAAGAGGAGTTTGTGAAGAAGGCAAGTAGAGCTTTTATATAAAGTAACGTGCCATGAAATCTATAAAACAAAACTGTTGAGATACAAATATAATCTTGCCAGGCATTTTAGTAAACCCTGTTCGCTCGTCTCCTCCACAATCACAGATCTACCTTGAGGATAATAAGCAATAGGTACAAAGTTATGTTTAATAGCTATGTTAGTTTCTGGAAGTGTCAGACAAGTTGAGCACAACCTTGGCTACAAAGAACAATAAATTTAAAGAAAAAGAGGTCTTTGGAGTTCTCTTCTCTGATCATAATCCATTAATAGAAATAAATAAAAGGTGATAAAATGTTTTTATAAATAATTTATAAACTTATAAATGAAAAGATGGAAATGACCTTTGTATCAAAGGATAAGTCAAAAGTCACATGAGCCAAGCATGGTGATGCACACCTTTAATTCCAGCATTGCGGAGACAATGGTGGGTGGACTCCGTGAGCTGGAGGTTAGCCTGGTCCACATAGTGAGTTCCAGGCCAGCCAAAGGCTACATAGTGAGACCCCAATTACAAGCAACAACAGTAAGAAGGTCAAGTGTCAAGCTATCTAAAAGTCCACAGAAACTTCTAGAGAATAAAAGTTGCAGGCCGTGGGAAATCACCTCCTTGACACACTGTCATTTAAATGAAGGCAGAGCATGTTTTGTTTTTGGCCTTTAATTATGAAATGAGGAAAAAGAATGACAGAACACACTAAGGCAAATCAGAGGCAACAATCAAGAGAAAGGCTGAAATGAAGGAAGCAAAGCCATGGAGGTAAATACATTTAAGGATGCTCCTTGATAAGCACAGTGAAGTTGGCATGAGAGTCTGTGTGTGTGATTAGAAACGTAACAAAGAGTAAGCAAGTGTAAATGAGGAAAGGGACATATTTGGGGACACAGTGATAATCTAGAGAAGACAAAGGAGAAAATTTGCTCAACTCATAAAGAATTTGAATTGGTCCTATGCTGGTTTCCCAGCTATCAGACTGGAGTCCATGAGCTCTCCCTTGTTCATGCCAACAGTTTCTATGGGTTTCCCCAGCCTGGTCTTGACCCCTTTGCTCATCACTCCTCCCTGTCTGCAACTGGATTCCAAGAGTTTGGCTCAGTGTTTATCTGTGGGTGTCTGCTTCTGCTTCCATCAGCTATTAGATGAAGATTCTAGGATGGCATATAAGGAAGTCATCAATCTCATTGTCAGGGGAGGGCATTTAAGATAGTCTCTCCACTATTGCTTAGATTGTTAGTTGGGGTCATCCTTGTAGATCTCTGGACATTTCCCTAGTGCAAGATTTCTACCTTCTTCTATACCTATTATTCTTAGGTTTGGCCTTTTCACAGTGTCCCATATTTCCTGGATATTTTGTGTTAGGGATTTCTTGGACGTAAGATTTTCTTTCCCTGAATGTGGGAGCACTGGGCAGTCTGTGGGGCCTCTTGTAGTGGATCAGTATTTATCCCTAGTATACGAAAGGACTTTGGGAGCCCATTCCACATAGAAGGATACTCTTTCAGCCTAGACTCATGGGGAAGGGCCTAGGCCTTGTTCCAAATCATATGTCAGACTTTGAAGACTCCCCATGGAAGGTCTCACCCTCTCTGGAGAGCATAAAGGGGATGGGATGGGGGTGTGTGGGGGGGAATAGGGGAGGACAGGAGGGTTCAGGAACTGGAATTGACATGTAAAACAAGCTTGCTTTAAATTTAAATATATATATATATATATATATGAATTTGAGAACCCAGATGGAGTGGACCTTTATTTGTCAGATATACATGTGACCCAAGAAGAAATGGGAAATTTGATTTAGATAGTAACCCTCAGCCAGGGGGGAATGCGATTAAAGAGCCAGTTTTGGAAACAGCAACAACAGGCTATGAACAGCAGCAGAGTTTTATGTAACTTTTAAAGAACACATTTTACTATTGTTCACACTAGTTCAGAAGCCTCAGAGCTCTTGGTTCATTTATAGAACAAACACACATTTGATCCCCAAACTCCACACAGGACAGAAAAAAAAAAAAACTTGAGACTTTTGAATATAGATGAAAAAGCCTTTCTGTAAGTGTTGGCTCATAACCAGAGTCCATTGACGGGTGTTGCCACAGCACACTTCCTGTCACTGATGCCCATTATGCAGTCACATAGAATAAGAAGTCATTTGGAAATTTGCAAACTTCATAAACAAGAAGGAAGGCATTATATACTCTTGATTTAAAACTGCCTAAGCTTAATATAGCCCCTCAAGGGCCATATGATCCATAGCAAATTTTGAATTGTAGCACGGTTGTTGTCTCCTCAGAAATGCTGTGACAGCTTCCTGCTGTTATAGCTCGGAGGGATGTGCTCAGAAATTCAAATCCATTTCCATACTTTCCAAGCACAGCATATTTCAAGACAGATCTACTACCCCAAATATCACACATATTACAGCTAATGGGATGATCTGGAGATTTCCCACACGGCTGCTCTTTTCACTGATGCACACTATGGACGACACATTGTGCATATGAATAAACCTCTGCCCTGTGTACGAGGCTAGTGCCGGTGATGTCACTGCCCTAGCATTGGGCCTGCAGGTTGCACTGTGCCTTCTGCCTACCACAGACAGAATTTACATGACACACAGTAGGTGGGATGGCAAATGAGAGTATTTCCTGATAGTCACCCATGTTCATGGGGTATGTGTGTAATTGTATGTGTTTCCCATGTTTGCTTCGCTCTCTTAGGCACTGGATGTGTTTGTAGGTTATTTTACTTTGTGTAGATGTGTATGCACAAGATTGGCATTGAAACAAAAATTGCAACCAAATAGTCAAACACTAAGGACATTTGCAAATCGGATAAAGAAGTAAAAACCATCTGCTTCACTTACAAACACTCCTGAAAAATGTGTCCTTAATATTTCTCCTTCAGACTCTGTGCTTGGGAAGCTGGGCATGATGGGGCATGACCCCGATTCCAAGATTAGTTAGCGTGAGTCACGAACTTACTGAGTTCAGTGTCAGTTTGGGCAAGCAAGCAATCAAACAAAACAAGTTAGCAACAACAAGAAGATTCTCAGGTCTGTTTGTGAACACTGTAGGAGGTACTGTTTTCTATACTGTGAACAAGTGTCATGTTACAAAGAGGCCAAAATTTGGTGCTTATTTCAGAGATAATCTGCCCTAGCTGCCCTAGACACTGTTGTAGAGCACTGATGTGTACTTTACATGCATTAGGACTTAATTCCTTCTTATAGTGTTTGTGACTGAAGCCTGAGCATGACACCTTTCTGTTCCAGGACTGGAAAGGTGAAATAGGAAGGGACTTAATCTGTTAGGTCTACTGCTTCCTGATCCTTGGAGCTCAGGAAATGCCATGAAGCAGTTCTCAGAACACCTTTTCAGTGAACTGTTTGCTCTAGTATAATCTCTGGTTTTTTTTCTCTGCAGATTCTTCAGGTGGCCTTTTAAAATATGCATCAGAGACAGAGGGTGCTACACGGGAGCTGAAAATGTTCAAAAGACGTCTGGGTTCTCTCCCCACTTTTCCAGTTTTTCCAACCTCCTTGCCTGACTTGGATGATGTGATGTTCAGGGGAATTCCTTAACCCAAGTCACTCCTCAGTCAGGCACATCTACAAAAGATTGCATCCGTAGTTTAAGATGGCCAGCCAGCCACCGGAAGAGCCTGTGGAGACTCAGGTCTCAGATGAGCTAGAGTGCAAGATCTGTTACAATCGGTACAACCTGAAACAGAGGAAGCCCAAGGTTCTGGAGTGTTGTCACAGGGTTTGTGCCAAATGCCTCTATAAGATCATAGACTTTGGGGACTCCCCCCAAGGTGTCATCGTCTGTCCTTTCTGCAGGTTCGAGACATGCCTGCCAGATGATGAAGTCAGTAGCCTGCCTGATGACAATAACATCCTTGTAAACTTGACTTGTGGAAGCAAAGGAAAGAAATGTCTGCCTGAAAATCCCACGGAGCTGCTGCTTACCCCTAAGCGGCTGGCGTCCCTCGTCAGTCCTTCCCACACATCCTCCAATTGCTTGGTTATCACCATCATGGAGGTGCAGAGGGAGAGTTCCCCGTCTCTCAGCTCTACCCCTGTTGTAGAATTCTACAGGCCTGCAAGTTTCGACTCTGTCACCACAGTGTCCCACAATTGGACAGTGTGGAACTGCACCTCCCTACTCTTTCAGACATCCATCCGGGTGTTAGTGTGGCTTCTAGGCTTGCTATACTTCAGCTCCTTGCCCTTAGGGATCTATTTACTGGTGTCTAAGAAAGTCACCCTTGGGGTAGTCTTTGTTAGCCTCGTCCCTTCTAGCCTTGTCATCCTTATGGTGTATGGTTTTTGCCAGTGTGTTTGTCATGAATTTCTGGACTGTATGGCACTTCCTTCTTAATCAATATGCAAAATAGGCAATTTGGCACATATGGCTATGTTCAAATGATGTACGTATGATTTGCTTTCTTTTGTATTCTCTATGGCTAGTGTCTACAGCCTCAACGAATCCCTTGGCCATATGTCTGCGGTCCATTTTCTGTCCAGATGTTGGCTTGATGGGTTTTCCTGGATTCTGAAAATTTTTTTTTACAAAGTTCATTTCTACATGGGGGTTAGCCAAGAAAGCAAGGCTGTGTGCACAGCTGTTAGGGAGCTCTGCAGTTGTGAGATGCTCATGAGCAAAGGTGTGGGCCCAGTGAATACTTGCAGACAAGGACCAGGCAAGGTGTGTTATACTGTGGCAGGGTCTTTGTAAATAGATCGGGGATAAATGGAGTCCTCCTTCAAGTTAGAGATATCTCATGATGGTGGGTAGATGTCAGAGGCAGGTTGCTCCAAAACACATGGGCGTGCCCCCCCATTTTCTTAGCGCTGGAGCCCCTAATCATTTTCAGGTGCTTTCTCTCTTAAGGTACAGCTTCTCTGAGGTCTGCTGCCTACCCTCAGCTCCGTTTCTCTTTTGTGCGGTGCTCCCTGACCCAGGGTCCTGCAATCTCATCCCCTTGGGTGGTTCCTGCAGGATTCCTGGTTGGGCATGTTGCTAGAGAAGATGGACAACTTTGAGAAGTTTGCATGGAAGTAGACTTTATGCCTGGGCATGGCCATTTATCCTTAGTGCAGGCCTTGCCCTTCATGGGTGTTTTCCTCCCAGTCTTCCCAGACAAGATCTGGGCAGTTTTGGCATGTGGAACTATTCACTGGAGTAATTTCTTATGGCATTTTGGGTTTGCTTGATTTCTAACCACATTCTTCAATCAGCCCATCCCCTATCCTGAACGAAGTTCCACTTAAATTAGTTGTCAGTGTATGAAGGTTTCATTTTCTTCCCCTTGCTTTAGAAATTTGCTTAGGGCTGATTTTGCTGACTCCTGCAACACTCTGGGGGAGCCTGTGATGGTGAAAACCCAGCAACAGGCTGCCTGCGGCCCTAGTCCTAGGCACTGAGAACCCAAGTGTTCTGTTGAGTGGTACCAGACTGCCGCGATTCGGGTTTATGTCCTATGGAAGTCCTGGCAAAGGAAAGGGTGAAGCCATGCCAAGCTGATGCCCTGCTTGGAGGGAGGGAACAAGGGAGTGAAGCAGAGGCGGCCAGGGGCAGCTCACTTGTGGCTGTTCAGTTAGTTTGGGGATAGATTCAAGTCCTTCAAGGTATTTTCTGTAAAAGCATAAGCCACGTGGCCTGAGTATGGACCCCTCTTCATGAAACAGGGTGGGAGCATTGAATGTATATATTTATGGGGGTAAGTTGTTTAGCAGGTTTTAGGGGAATAGAATGTTCACAGAAACTAGGCAAAAAGAGGGGAGTAAGCTTCTTAGTCTGAGACTCGTTACTGATACTTAACAATAAAATACCCATAATGCTTAGTGAAGGGCTTTACCAAGACTCCGTTAACATGTTTGTGGTGAAATATTTGTTGTGTGAAATAATTACAGGGGGTCAGTGGGTAGTTCCAAGCTCCATATTAAGGAAAAATGGATACTTACCTAGAATAGGAGTTTTAGTTGCATAACTACTGACTTTGAGAACATGTATGCCCAAGGTACATGTGATGAGAAAGTATATGTGGGATGTGGTCCAATAAAATTTAACCCCCAACTTAGAGCTAAATACATTTATGATTCCAGAAACCCTAGTTTTAGGTAGTATTGTGGAAGCAGTTTCCAGAATCCCATTTGTACTTTGAGTAAATACAATATTTAAGAGGTTTTGTGGTTTGGATTTATATATTTATAAGGTTTCTTTTTCAAAGATGCTCATATTGTGTGAACTGTAATGTTGAGTGAGTTGGTGAGTTACCGCAGGAAGAGATTTGCAGAAGGCTCTGGACCAACTCTGTGTTTTGCTACTTTGTGTGATGTGTGCAGTGCTGAAGCTGTGTCTGTATGTGTTGTGGCAACATTTTTCTTAATACCAGTGTGTTGATTTGGTTTTAAAGATTTTTAAGTGTATGACAATAACAACACAAATTAACACAACTCTCCATGCTGTTGAATGGAAAGGGCAACCCTTTACTGTTATATTCCCTTATGCTAATGTTTTCTTGTCTATTAAATTTTATTATTTCTAAATGAGCTGTTTGGTTTCTCTGATTTATGGGTGAGATGCCATTATCACTTCAGAGCACCACAAATGTCAACTTCATTAAGCCAGTGCCTTTACCATACACATGGAGATTTTAGAATCTCCCCACAAAGCAAACGTCACTTACCATCCTACAAATGCATTCATATTTTATTTCAAGTGGAGAAGAAACATTGGGGATGATGAAATAAGAATATTATCTTCCTAAGTAAAATTTCTTATTTTGTTTGACTCTCCTGACTGCTCAACAAAATAGAATCCAGTGAAATAAAATAATTCCTTGCTTTGCACAGCCTGGTCAAACTAGAAAAAAATACTGTCTACTAATCATGACCATTGTTGAGTCATTTGAGAGTATGCAGCAGTGCAGTGTACGTAATAATCAGTGAATTAGCACCACATGTCAATCAAGAACAATGATTCAATTCACTTGGGAAATCTTTACTGTTAGCCAGGCCCTTGCAATTACCCTGTGAACTCAGGCTTAGCTGGTAAGGACCAGGAAGCAATGAACAGGGTTTTGTGCATTGTAGAAACCACGATGAAATTTCTCAGCGTGTCAGCCTGACAGATGCGAAGCTGGAGGAAGCCTGAAGTTGCTAGACAAGCAGATGGAACCCAGAGAGGAGCTCAGAGGAAGGGGCAGCAAGGTACCCTGGGAGAGTGCAAAGGGAGCAGGAGGGGGTGTGTTCTTCCTTTACTCTCCTTGTTGACACAGTCTCAAAGCTTGCCTTGATTTCTTGGAATACTTCAGCCACACTACACAGATTACTCCAGAACTTTCCTCAAAACCAGCAGTGACAGCCTTGGTTTCAGGTAAAAATGCCATTTGTTCTTGCAGCTTGCATTTTATTTGTTTTCCATATCTTTACCCTTTTCTTACATATTTATTTATTTTTTTATTTCAATAGCCATTGTGAGTATTTACTTCTGTAGGCTTAGTATTGTGTTTTTTTCTTGTAAAGTTTACTTTTGTCTAAGACATGTTTCCTTTTTAATAAGATTTTATGTGTGTGGGTGTTTTGCCTGCATGTATGTCTGGTGCATGAGGTCTGAAGACGGTATTGGAGGTCCTGGGACTGCAGTTATACATAGTTTTTGCAAAATCAAAAGTGTTCTTAACTGTGGCACCTAAAAGGTGCTGATTTTAAATGTGGAAACTAAAGTTGAAATATGAGTAAGTTCCAAATGAGTCTCAGACACAGTCACGAGTGAACCAGTTTCTTATATTATTTAAATTCATGGTATAATCCATAAGTAAACTCAGTGTGGATATTTATGGTAAGAATTAAACTACAGCCTCAATACTGTAAATGTAAGTTGGGATATGAGATAATTTGCTCTTCAAAATGATTGGGCCTTGATTTAATTAAAATAGTCAATGGAACAAAAAGATTACTTGGCCAGCATTTTAATTAATCAGATGTTTATTGACTGTACCATTTATATTGGGATGGTTGGGGTTTCAGGAGGAAGAATGTCCTGGACAAGCAGGTTGCCTCTGTCACCTTGTGTTGCCCACAAATTGTAAAGAAAGTTGTGTTGTACATTTCTATCCACACCCTTCAAGGAAGAGATCTGGCCCGAACACCCAACTTTGCAAAGCAGCTGGGGCTGAGGCATTGGAGAGGGGTCCAGACAGAGCAAAAGGAACACCAAGACTGTGACTCTGAGTGATCAGGAAAGTTGCCAGAGGAAGGATTCTGGAATGTTGAGGGGGAAGGATGGAAGCCACAGAACATGTAGCCGTTAGACCCAAGAGGAAGAAGGTGGAATGGGAATGGAGGAATCATTGCTGGTTCACTTCTCACTCAGCGTCAGCATCTAGACTAGCTGTGTTTGTTTTCCTTCTTAGGTAAATGTATGATATATAATTCTCAACACTTCCCCTCCTAGTTCTTCCCAATACAACTCATTGTGGTTGAACCAATTGAAACTGATCTTTTTGTCGTTAGACATATTCTAGTCCAAGGCAAGTCGTCAATTCTGACAGCTGCCTTCATGTTAATTCCATCTGGAGAGTTTGGAATATGTTAAAATTCCATATTAAACTCCATATTAAAACTCTTGTCTCCTCACAACATTTTAAATAAATTTTATTTATTTCAGCAACATGTTAGCCTGAGATGTTGTTTTGAATGCCGAGAAAACACTATTAGTCAATAAACGGACATCTACTTTTGGTATGTGTTAAACTCAAACTTCCCACGCTCTTTTAATACACCTCCATTCTCTGATTTAATGTAATTTATGGAAGAACCACATGCACCCATTATCAGCCTCCTGCACACACATAACATCCGTGTGTATCTGCACACATCATCCACACACACATACATACACACCTACATCCTTATGTAATTTAGGAAACAGTTGTGAAAGAGAACCATGTTAGTCTCCCAGAAGCTTTTACTTATCCAGGTAAGTAATACTAAAAAATTACTTTTTTTTTTTTTTTAACTACCTTTCTCACTGCTCATGGAGTAATGACTACTTGTCTCAGAGACAACTCCTACCTATTTAACTGTTTTCAACACCATTGAGCAATGGATGTTGTCCTAGCCAAACGATGGACTCATTTATTGACATTGCTTCTGTTCGATGTGCTTTTCCCGGATATCCCACCTGGAACTAACTGTATAGCTAATGATTAAATTTATGGCCGTACAGTTTTTTTTTGGCTACATCTTCAAATTATACAGTTATTTCCAGTCTCCTGTGATTTGACAGGCTGAAGACCACAAGTTAAAACAGGGCAAACAACAACCTGATTTTTGGGCCTTTCTGCTGTCAGAGGAGGGTGGTGTGAAGAAGTTATCCCTGGAGACCAAAGAATACTAAATTCTGGCCTTGGAATGAGGAGGAAAATGCCACTAAATACCTCCCCTGTCCTCTATCCACAGGTTCATGTTCCAGATAAGAACCTTACCAGATTTTTTGATTTGGAACGTAAAAGTCCATTATTTTGATTCATATTCTACCTATTACCTGGATAATATACATATTTCCCCTGACTTTTTGACATGATACTTATGCCTTTCATGGCTCATTGGGAAGATATAGACAATTATGGTTTATGGTTTTTCCAAGCAGGACCTTATTTTGGTAATTACTCCAGAGATGTGTTGTGAAATGTGTTCAAGCGGTTGGTCCGTGAAGGGAAGGTGTCTTGGCTGTGAGTGGAAAATTAGCCAGTGTCATCTTCTCAGAGACTTCACTGAGTGTGCAGTGTCTGAAAGACAGACCCTTGGATGAATCCGTTCAGTGTTTTTCAAACTTAGCTACCTCAGAGCCCTTTCCTAAGACATCTGCTAGTATTTAGTGGGACTAGTTTGATGGAAGACAT